ACAATCAGAACAGGAATTTCTTGAAAAGCAGTGCACCTACCTACAGCAAAAAACTCAGCAATAGGTTTGGCCTTGATTCGGTTTTACGAAGATACACAAGTTCACAAATGGACCCACTGAGACTTGTATCTAATACCTCATTCACACCAACGGTGTTTCGGGGCCGGTTCGGAGCTGGAGCTTGAAAAGCACCGGGTCTTCCTCTTCACACCGCAGCGGAGCAGCCTCTTAGCTCCGGAATCCGGTTCGTTTCAAGCACCAAAAAATTGTCCGGCTAGAGCAAAAGCACCGCATACGTCACGCTTACGTCGAGGCGGGGGCAGGGGCAGAGACAGATCAACTCCTGAACAACAACAAGAAGCCCGCGTTTTATCCAGTTTGTACAACGATGGAGAAACCTAACAAGAGTTTCAGTGTTTCTGCCATAGACTGTATATATAAAGGTTTCTGCTCATGGTGAAGCAACGTGTCTGCGTGTTAAGGTGGAACCTGAGCATTCACGTTGATCACCTCTCATTATAACTCATTATAAATCTATAAAACTATAAATATTAAACTTTACTTCACTTGTTCATTTGAGAACAGCTGTTACATACCTGGGTGAAGGTTACAGTTCATTTAAATTAAAGATACAACGTTACTCCACACTCATGGTTCAGTCCACCTTAAGAAATAAGACCGACCTCGGAAGCAGTTGTGTTTTAAAAAAACCTTTATTGACACGAGTACACTTTTTTATAAGAATATAACTAAACCACATAAATGACTCCGGAAAAGCTGCAGATCGAGCCATAAGAAATGAATGCAACTGATTTCATCCGCGCGGTTTGGCTTTATGAAGCAGGCACGCAAACGGTTACGTCATGACGCAAACGATGACGCAACGAGGCATTACCAGTCTGACTCTGGGCGGTGTGAAAAGAGCCAGAGCTAAACCGAAGAACCGGTTCTGAACCTGAAAAGCTCTAGCACGGAGCTTGAACCGCAGTTGCGTTGGTGTGAATGAGGTATAAGAGGCTTTCCCTTTAACTTCCTATTTGTAAAAAGGGGGTTCAATTAGGGCTAAATCATAATCTCGATTATTTCGGTCAATAATTGATATCACGATTATTAAAAACGATTATCCATTTACTTTGAAAACATCAATTTATTGGAGAAGAAAAAGTGGAACAGTATGTTTTAAACAGTTGATTACCCTTAACGTTAAGTATAACTCAACTGAAACACCAAAACAGTAATAATAAAAAAATAATCGTTTTATTTCGATGACGTTGTTTTCGTAATCGTTGCAAGCCATAATCGTAATTGCGATTGAAATACGATTAATTGAGCAGCCCTAGGTTCAAGGGTACAACAGTGTCAAAGATGAAGGAAGGACTCTCAGTGGTAGTCCCATCGGCGAAAACACGTGGGTTTGCTGTCCTGGCTCCAGGATGGTGGAATGAGCTCCCCATTGACATCAGGACGGCAGATAGCTTGCACATCTTCCGGCGCAAACTGAAAACTCATCTCTTTCGACTCCACTTCGAGCGTTAGAACTATTAACGAAGCACTTTTATACTAATAAAGGACTGGCTTACCTAAAGCCAGTTGAGTAGCACTTGAAATGTTTGGCTCTATGAAACCTGATGTACTTTATGATTCTGTTTTCTTCAAGGTTGTGTCTTCCTGGTCGAATGTACTTATGGTAAGTCGCTTTGGATAAAAGCGTCAGCTAAATGCAATGTAATGTAATGTAATGTAGTCAAGTTGCAGTCATACTTCCACTACTGTCATTGAATATCTTTTTTACTTTCCTGCTTGCTTACAAACTTTTTCCTAGATGCCATGGGGAGTTCCAGCACAACTTCCACTACTCCAAAAGGTGCATGGAGAATAGAAAAAGTCTGAAAAAGTCAAACTTGAAGTATACAGAACATCCTCGAGGCTTCGGACAAAATGCATCGGTCTAAAATCTATGTTTTATTCTGTATCTGCTGTCCTGCTAAATATGAGGCGGCACATGTATGTATGTAAATATGTTCATGCATACTGTGTCCTGTGTTATCTTTCCGTACAACACATGTATTATTTACTTAACAATAAAGTAATGTTCTTAATTAAGCTGTGCTACTCCAGTATCTTCCCACATACGCCCTGGCAACTGCTGCAGTGCACTCTGGGGTTCAGTATCACGCTGCCAGGCATCTGCCAGTGCAACATGAGTGACATACCTTCTATAAGTGCCATAAGCCAATAAAACCGCAGCGGCATACCGAAAGCGGACCGCTAAGAAACGCTATCGCAAATGTAGCATGCCATCAGTATGGGTTGCATCGCGGCAGCCCAGACACACGTTTAAGTTATTTAGAAATGTCTGCAATTATTCTGCATAAACTGAGCTCTCTGTGTGTTTGGAGTGCTACAAATATTGCTTGACCAACGTCACGAAGTCCGACAGCATTCTTCTGTAAAAGGAATGACACCTGTACTGCAGGAATGCTGATCCATGAGAGCACTTTACATACAAACGCTGCGGGTATCAAAACATGCCACAGCTTTGTCAGATCAACTGTTAACAGTGTTTCGATAGCAGAGGACAAAGACAGGGTGGAGGGTTCCTGACGGTATGCTCTGCCCCGTGGAGCGATGGTCTATAAACCTAATTTGAAGCTTGTCTCCATGGCAGACGTCGCCATGGCCATCATTTAATTACTCTGCACAATAAAACTCCACATCAAGGGCCTGTGTTTAACGGGAAGGAGAGAGAGGCAGTCTGAAGTGGTGTCAGCTCCTGCTGCTCGTGCGTCGCATGGCGGGCTATGTGCCCCCCCCCCCCCCCCCCCGCCAGCTGCAGGGCGGCTGCCAAGCTGCTCCAGGGTTTCCCAGAGAGCAAGGCATACCACATGGGCATTAACCGTTACACTGGGACGCTGTTTGAACAGGGGGGCATGATGAGAGGGTGTAAACATGTGTCTGTGTAGACTTGTGCTTGTGTTTGAGACTGAAAAACAGGATTACAAAATGAAACAAAAAGGGAATTAAACACCATTCCTTTTATCAGACTAGTTCTTGCTTGTGAATGGGAAAAGGACTGCATTGAGAAAGCGTTTTACAGCGTTTATGATCCTTCAAAGCGGTTTTGAATGTTATAAATTGTCCAAAAACGTGTATAATGTCTCAACACTTAAATATGTTACTTGTTAAGTTTTTATATTGATGGCCTTTTTTTACCTTCTGTTGCAACACTGTACATTTCCCCGCTGCGGGACTCCTAAAGGAATTCTGATTCAGATTACATTTACACGTCGGGATTCACCCAAAGAGGTGTAGACGCAACCTGCTAAGGAGACTTACATTCAAGTGTTGTCACGATACCAACATTTTGGTTCCGATACCAAGTCAAGAATTGCGATTCCTATTCTTTTTTTGTATTATTTTCATGATCAATACAATTGTAGTTTATCTGTTAAGTGTTTTCTTACAACATGGTCTCTTCTTTATACTTCGGTTTAGGTGATTTCTTTGATAGTTAACTTTATATTTTATTAACATGTAATAGTAGGCTACAGTCATTTCAATAATTATTGACAAAATGTATATTGCAGATGTTAGCCACATTGGTAAGTTAGCTAAAAAGATAGCCATATTAGACAGTTATCATTGCCGTTAATTGCCTCGTCAAACTACGAAAACTTTCGTTTGTCACAAAATAAATTACACTGGTTTGACTTAGATTTGAGGGCATGGCCTGAGCATGATGTAATTATGTTATCACATTCGCTAACCTGTCTGTCTTTACATTCTTTAAACAGCTCTGGATGCCGGTCGGCGAGGTGCTTAGCCAAGTCTGATGTGTTGGCTCCCTTGGTTTGCAGGGATCTAAAACATGTCTGACAGACAGGCCTCGTGGTGTCCGTAGGCTTGCCCTCACTGTCAGAGATATCGCTAAAATACTTCCACATTTCGCTTCTGGCGTCTTTTTTGTCAACAAGCCGAGGCGCAGCGGCAGTTGCACTCCCACTTGCAGCCATGCTTCTCGTTTTCTCACATGCTCTGGCAGCTAGCGCGTGCACGAGAGAGGGGAGGGACTTGGAGCGTGCTTGAGAGAGGAGGGACTTAGAGCGTGCTTGAGAGGGGAGGGACTTAGAGCGTGCACGAGAGAGGGGAGGGACTTGGAGCGTGCTTGAGAGGGGAGGGACTGCAGGCACGGCTGCAGTGCAGGGAGTGGAAGCAGAGCGCTGAACACACACGGCTCTTATTAAAACGGCGCTTTCTCACCGGAGTACTTTTCCCCGTCATTCTTAAAGTACCGATACTAATGAAATCGTAAAGTTTTTAACGGCAGGGTATCGCGGTACCTTTCAAGTATCGGTACACCGTGCAACACTAATTCACACACCATCGGGAACTATTTGGGGATAAGTATCTTGCCCAAGGATACATCGACATGTTGACTGCAGGAGCTGGGAATCTCCGATTGTTAGACGACGCTCTCCCTCACAAACCTGTCAAATGCTTTGTTTAGGACACATTCACCGTCATGCTGTAAGTGTCTTATAGCCTCAAACACTCTTAAAGGCTTATCCAGAGCCATAAACACTCCATAACAAACAAAACAATACAGATGCAGCGGGTGCATTGTGCGCTCTTCCTCTCCGTGGTGGCCTCCACTTCGTGCTCCTCTCACTAGTTAATTGCAGCGCTGCCACATGGCTGCCTGCGGGGCTGTTATTACCTCTGCCCTGTCATTAGTTACCGAGTTAAAGCCGGAAAAGAGCTGCAGCTCACATGGGACACAATGAAGATCAGTGCTGTCACTATCCCTGCAATCACTAGCAGCAGCTCTGCCTACTGTCCTCGTGAGGGGACGCCTGCCAAGAGCTCTGGACCCTCTGATTATGACTTTAAGGACGAGCGTTCACAAACTGTGACCGAATACAGCGCTGCAGGAAGTGTAAAAAGATTGAGGTTGATAGGCAGGAGTCAAGGGGAAGTGTGTGAAAGACAAATGCACTTACCTCCGAGCAGCTTCATGACCAGCCACAGCTCATCCTTCACCACGAAGGAGGTGTAGTAAGACACAATGTTGGGGTGGTGGCACTGGCTCATGGCCTGGATCTCTTTCTGTAGGAGGAAATAGAAAAGAGAGACAGAAACCAATCAATGAGACTGTTTATTGTACCTATAAGAGCTGGTGGAAATGGGTTAAAGACTTATATTAGAGCCAGATAGAGTGGTTGTAAGATGCCTCCATGAAACACACAACAATAAACCTTTCCTTATGTTTTCTTCAAACAGCTTTCTCCCTGAATCCCATAAAGCAGTTTGAGAAAAAAGCCCTGAGGAAATACACCGACTGCAGTCACAGTAAATGTGTATCCTTCAAGGCTGCAGCTATTCTTGAAATCTAGTGCAATGTTTAAAGACCTTCATGACGTCGGTAGTCAGAAGAGAAATAGGTTAGGTCAACAAAATGCATATCTCTGCAGAAGCACAAGAAAGAAAAACAGCCGGTGTGTGTGTGTGTGTGTGTGTGTGTGTGTGTGTGTGTGTGTGTGTGTGTGTGTGTGGGGTAGAAAGCAGGGGAGCTGAGGTAATGTTGGCACAGAAGTCTAATCCTTCACTTCAGCAACAGTGCTAAAGTCATCCGAGGATCGACGAGCTTGCTAAGAAAAAGGAAATCTTGCTGACTGCAGAGTGCGTTGATTCACTTCTGTTGGTGCACTTAACTTAACAAATGACTGAAGGAGTTATTCGGGATCCATACTGAAGCACAACGACGCAGTACTTGTTGCCATAAACACATAAACATTATAGTATATATATATTATTTAAAACTATTAATAATGTATCCTTCATAGTTGATTAATAGATGACACTTTGTTCAAACACTACACTCCTGAATGATATCCTTGCATGATAGCGCCCTTGAGGTATAGTGACCTGTCAAAGGAACATTTTTACATGTTATATAAAGTTAAAATGACTTAAAAGGACAATAAACTGTAAATAAAACATTCTTAATGGAATACTGATGCCTCTATACCAGTGTTTCTCAAACTTTTTCATACCAAGGACCACCTAACTCCACAAATATCCAAAATCACAGTTTTACTTAAGCTCGCTCCATTGCGGAGATATTCCCGTGAGAGTGCGGAAAACTAAATGTGAAATTTTACCAATATACTCACGGACCACTAGGGGGCGATCACGGGCCACCAGTGGTCCGCGGACCACACTTTGAGAAGCACCGCTCTATACCTAAAATATTCTGGAAACAATACCGCTTTTGTCCACAGGGGTCGCCAAAATCAACACCAAAATGAAAGTTCCTCGTAGTAATTTCAATTAAATTACTCAATTTAATAATTGTTTGTCAAATCTAAGGAGTGATCAAGGTCACACTCAGAGAGGACTTCCTTCTTGTTATCTATTTTCCCTTTTCCCACTCTTTGTGCTAAGCTTATCATGAGTATCTCTTTAATGAAAATCAATATCCATCTTCTCACTAATTACAGGTTTCACCACAAACAACCTTATTCCTTAAATGTAAAACAGCTTTTTATAATGGAGTGTTGTAACGTGACACGTGCCTCAACCTTAACACTGCAGCTGTAAACATTTGTTAAAGGCATTAATCAATAGATGCTTGTAGGTCAAAAACCTAATGTGCCATCAGCATAAACGCTCAGCTCACACTGTGTGCATTAGCAGCATCTGTTGCCGAGTCATCACTATCGAGCGTTCGGTGAGTGCCTTCGACAAGAGAGGCCTCGTGATGCAATGAGGAAAAAACGCTCGACAAAGGAAGGTTTGAAACATGAGTCATAGTGAGGCTGGATGTGCAGGAAGCGCACATTTCTTTATTTTATGGCTTTGAACATAATTTGGATAGTTTTATAGTCAACCAGGTCTTGTAGTTTTAGTGTTTTAAGTTTGATAAATAATGTATTTGTTGGTTCTCTGTAGGTAGTGTTATGTATCATTCGTATGGCTCTTTTGTGCAGGATGAAGATAGGATGTGTATTTGTTTCAGGGCTGCACGATATATCGTGTCGTGACGATAATCGCAATATTCACATCGCAGGACTTTTTTTTTTTTTTGAACATGCAATATTAAGTAGGCAAATGAACTCATGTTACAATTATTTTGCTGCTCGCTACAAAAGGAAAACTCTCGCAGCTCTCATGTCAGGGGCTCTTGAGTGAGTGACAGGCTCTGCATGCACAGCAAACCACCAATCACAACCATTCTTGATCAGATCACAGCAGGATAACCGAGCTAGCTCAGCTTGTTGCTCTGATAACTTAAGATCCAGAAGTCCGTGACTAAAATCCTTCACCCGGTTAAATATCGTTAAAAAAAAATACATTTTTTAAAACACACAATACATTTTATAGCATTAAAGTTCAAGAAAGTTTGCGGACAAAGAAAACTGTCTTTTCTTCAATTCCTGTATTTTTTCATTTCACAATGGAAACAAATATATATCGCAATATCAGTTTTGTCCAATATCGGGCAGTCCTAATTTGTTTTATACGTCTTCCCCCAAACCTCCACACAGTACATCATGTATGGAAGTATGAAGGAGCAGTACAGCGTAAACAAGGAAGCTCGACACAATCATTCTTGATCAGATCACAGCAGGATAACCGAGCTAGCTCAGCTTGTTGCTCCGATAACTTAAGATCCAGAAGTCCGTGACTAAAATCCTTCATCCGGTTAAATATCGTTAAAAATATACCAATTGTATCATTAAAGTTCAAGAAAGGATGGTTTGCGGACAACAAAAACTGTCTTTTCTTCAATTCCTGTATTTTTTCATATCGCAATATCAGTTTTTTCCAATATCGGGCAGCCCTAATTTGTTTTATATGTCTTCCCCCAAACCTCCACACAGTAGATCATGTATGGAAGTATGAAGGAGCAGTTCAGCGTAAACAAGGAAGCTCGATTTAATAATAGGTATTTATCTTTATTCAGAATTGCTATTGATTTGGATATTTTGGCTTTGACATGTGGTTTCCAACTTAATTTCTTGTCTATGATTACTCCAAGGAATTGTATTTCCTTTCTAATTGGACGCCATTTATAGTGAGTTTCGTCTCTGTATTGGTCGATCGATTCCCAAATATTATGAGTTTGGTTTTGCTTGCGTTCAAAGTTAAGTTATTTTGGTCAAACCAGATCTTCATCCTGCTCAATTCCTTTTCCGTAGTGACCAATAGCTGTTCCAAATTGTCTCCACAGCAGAGTAGACTTGTGTCGTAATAAAGGTGGAGTGTGAGTCAAAGACAACACCACCCTTCAGATTGAGCAGCACCACTTGGATCCACTAAATCTGTTTTCTGCAAGGCAACAGGAAGTGAGCTGGGCGTAAAAGCTCATTTTCATAATGACCAATAGGTGGTACAACAACTTCTGTGTCGGTCTGAGGCGCTATTGGGACGAAAAATACTTATTCCAGTTGACTAACATTGAAAAAGACACGCCTTTATTTATTTTCTAGCCAAATTAACTGAAATACGGAGACTTGAATTGCCCTTATTTCCATTTTTAGGGTCCTTAAAGTTGTAAAACGAGCTAAATAAGGTGAATCAAAAAGGCTCCATCGGCAAAAACAATGGGATTTCTCAATTTGTATGACACATAGAAGCTTCAAACCTTCACGAGTGGAGTGGAGTATGTACTGACATACTACTGGAAATGTGACATGTACTGTATGTGTGTAACGTGTGTCGTTTATTGTTCTTATCTTTTATCCTTTCGCTTGTATCTACTTGTCTTTCATCCTTTTTTTATAACTAATGATGTAGGCTTAGACTGTCGGGGGGCACCTGACTTCTTCCTTCTGTCTGTCTGTACCTGTGTACTCTCATGTTCCCAATAACCCAGCTTCCCCAAATGTCTTTTTGGTGTCTATCTACGCCGGGATCCTGAGTCCTGATCTGAGTCCTGGACTTCGAGTCGTGGCTGAACCCGTCACTGTGGTCCTGCCTGACTCTCATCATACTACTTCCCTGATGGCTCCCACAGGATTGTTGACATCCTCGTGGATTCATCTTCTTATTACAGACACATGCATTTCCTAACATTCGGTCTATATGCTGTAAAATGTATTATCTCTTCGATTTACACACGGCATCTATTGCACGTCTGTCCGTCCTGGGAGAGGGATCCCTCCTCTGTTGCTCTCCCTGAGGTTTCTCCCATGTTCCCTTTAAACTGTGGGTTTTCTCTGGAAGTGTTTCCTTGTACGATGTGAGGGTCTAAGGACAGAGGGTCTAAGGACAGAGGGTCTAAGGACAGAGGGTCTGAGGACAGAGGGTCTAAGGACAGAGGGTCTGAGGACAGAGGGTCTAAGGACAGAGGGTCTAAGGACAGAGGGTCTAAGGACAGAGGGTCTAAGGACAGAGGGTCTAAGGACAGAGGGTGTCATATTGTCATACTGATATTCTGTACAAACTGTGAAGTCCACTGAGACAAATGTAACATTTGTGATATTGGGCTATAAAAATAAACATTGATTGATTGATTGATGTATTGTGATTTTAAAGGTGTCATCTGACCGGGGACAACAGCTGGACATTAGCAATGTTGGCTAAAGCTGCACCATTTACTGTTTTTTGTGACAGTTGATCAATGGGGACTGTCCACGACACTATAAAACAAATAAACTACACTACAATCTTGTACACTTTTGTTAACCAACGATCTTATTTCAGGCTTCTAACCAAAAACATGGACGTGGTTAAGTACTAAGTCAGTTCTGGGTTGTAACACTCGTTGCTGCACCAATGTAATCATTGGTTTGTCCGTGATGCAGCAGATTGGAAAGCAACTATAAGAGGAATGAACCCTGAACGTCAAAGCTGTTTCTTCACATCTTAAAACATCCATGGTTTTCCGGGGGGGAGGTGCTGCCGTACTGACATTTGTTTATTATTGACATTTTTGTTTAAGCTGACTGGTTATCGATTCATTTATTTAATTGTTTGTCTGTTTTTGTATGTCTGTCTTCTGTCTGTGTGAAATGTTGTTAGCCCTGGTGTTAAGCAGTATTTACATTGTTGAACATTTGTTTACCTACTTGTGATACGTGCTCTGAGAGAATAACTCAGGG